TCTCAGCAATCTTGCATTCACCGGCTGCAGGCTGTCCGGGGGTTCATGAAGCTGGCCGAGGAGGAAAGTAAGCCGCACGCCACTCACTGCACCGCGTGTTGTTGAAAGAGTGCACAGCCCCCCCAAACAAAATTGAGTGCACACCTTTGCTTTTCCCCTCTGGCGGCTCACCCTCTGTTGTCGTGTTGCTCCGCACGGCGCACGTGCGGATTTGCGATCCTCCGCGCGCGGTTTTCTACGACGGCACTGCGCGTTCTCACGCGAATCAGGGCCGCTTCTGTCCTCTTTTCCAATCCGATGCCAGTGAGACCTTCCCGGGTTTTGGAAAGGATGGGGAAGAGCTTCTCTTGGCTGCTCGGAGGCGAGAAACGACCAAGATGCTCATTTTGCCCTTGCTGTCTTCGTCACGGGTTGCTGGGCCTCTAAATGCCAGCTGACTGGTCATGAGCAGCAGGTGTTTGAATGAATAGCACGGCCCGTCAAATGTCCCTCAACGTACCGGTAGCCAGCATCATCTGGGAGTGGAAGACTCGAAAGTAGCATGTGATCTCCGGCTGATCATGAGCCCCAAATCTTTGCTTGTGTCTGGCAGCTGGACGAAGCTAAGAAAGCGCATGCGAGGGCAAAAAGCTGCAGATGCTGGGGCTACTCATACTCTGAAGGATGCGGAGCGCATGCAGCACGGCCGCAAGCCAACGGCAACTGCAACCGAGGGCAATACCAAGTCAATTGGCGTCGCAGATGCCTGGACTTTGCCATCTGAGCGCACGGGCAGCATGCAGAGGATGGAGACCCATGCAGCAGATTTCAGCGCTTCCACAGCCCACGGCTTGCAAGTTAGCAGAGAGAGGTGCTTCCTGTTCGGAGCCAGGCGGCACCGCAGCTTGCAAATGGGAGGCTGGCACTTCTGTTGCACAGGCCGTGGGCAAAGCCGCAGATGCAAGTGAATGTGCAACTGGAACAAAGCAGCAGGAGCAGTGGCCCCGCACGCAAGGCTTGCAGTGTGTGTGTGGCGGGCATGGAGCAGAGGGACGTCGCCTGCCTGACCGCTCGCACTTGGCCCCGCCTCAGCTGCGGTTTCCACGAGGGTTAGGGACATCTTCAGCTCCTCAGGCCGCGAGAGGTCTCGAAAAATGCGGTTTTGTGCAGTGTTCCCCCAAAAAAATCACAGGCGACCCCAGAGCCCCTGGAATAAAGGTATAAGAAAAATGTCGTCGTGCACGTGGCAAGGTTAGACCAAAATAGTCCAACATGCCGCCTTGATGCTGCAAAGGCACCATGCGGCAGCGCGGTGCCGTCCCATGGGCACAAGATGTTGGCTTGCGCGGTGCTGCCGATGAGCCTGCTCATCACTCGAAAGGCACCGTGCGGGCTGCCATGCTCCGCTCGATGCTTCCCAGGAGTGGTGTCATTTCGAAGGTGCCGGGCTGAGGTCTGGTTGGCAGGCAGGCAGGAGCCTGCAGATTCTGCAACAGGCATGGCTCTTGCAGGCGCTTCTGCAGGAGAGTCACAGCTTGACGTGTGCATGTAGCTGGAGGAAGTGGCAGAAGTGCCATCCCTGCTCTAGCTTACGGAGTTTGGCAAGGTGGGTTCCAGGCAGGAAACTTTGCAAAGTCAGGCCCAGGTCGTCGAGGTCTTGCACCAGAGCCGGTCCAAAGCTTCCGAGCGGCAGGACACCGCCTGCCTTTGATCCAGGCCTCGTCGTTGCGCCGTTAGAAGGAAGAACCGCAATGAACCGAGGACCTGCGGAAGTTTGCAGGAACTTGGGATCCACTCGGAGTGGGCAATCGGAGCATATCCGGAAGCAGCCACAACTGCGCTGCAGGGGAGCCGTGGCATCACGCGCCGTGCACGTGGCCGCCGGGCTGCGGCATGATTCGTGGACGCTGGATGCATCCGACTGACAGGCAGCTGGGCGGTCTCGAAAAAACACAATGCCCACCGTGGAGGCATATGAGCTGGCTATCAGCAGAGGGCTGTCGGTCCTCAAGCAAGCGGTTTGGCCTAGCTGCTCATCGGCTGACGGCCGTGAGGAGCAAGGTCTTATCCTGGCCATTGCAATAAGTCAGCACAGACCCATGTAGCCGGCACTGGCTAAGCTGAAGCTGCACAACTCGGGCATAGCCACACATGGTCAGATGGAGCACGAGTGTGCAAGATGATACGAAGTGAGGCACACATGGCATTCGTTTTCCAAGTAAGGGCGGTGTCGACATTTGCGCATGCCGGATGGTCCGGTACTGCACGTGGTAACAGGCAATTAGACAGATGGGTGGCCCCGGCACTGGCAAAGGGCCTTTCGACAGGTAAGTGAGGCTCCGTTCACAGCAGAGCTTCCACTCTCGCGGCTCGAAAGGCACGCGCGAGCCCTGCTGGCCAAAATGCGGGAGCTGTTCGGTCGTAGAGATCCTTGTAGCTTTCTATGGAAGCCAAATCCTCACCCAAAATCGGCACTTACACACTGTCAATTGGGATGATCGCCTCATCGGGGTTTGCGTCTATGGGGCAGGCAGGGCTTCCTTAGCACTAGGACACTAGGAAACCTGGGCTTGCTGGGCTCGCGTTCACGGATGTGGTCCCAAGGCAGGCAGCTTCCCTCCGCGAAGGCATGCACTGCAGGCGCTTGCCAAACTTGGATTTCGGAAATGTAGCAAAACGGGTGCTGGCAGTTGGTGTTCCCAGGAACTGTTTGCAAAATCAACAGGGCTTTCTGGGACACGGATGGTTGCCGGTTTGAGGACCCAAGGCTCTGAGGAACAGTCGTGGGTGCGAGTGCCTGAGAAGCGCATACTGCTGCGGACATCTACGCGGCACTTCGCTGCTCACGAGACTTGAAATCAACAGGGATTGGGGCGCCCCTACCCGACGAAGTGCTGGCTAAGGTACTCCCGGTGCTAGGACTGCTGGCCAGCTAGCTCAACAGGAGTCTTGTGCCAGGCTACGGGTGAGGATGTGTTGATGCGCTATAGCCGGGCCACAACTCTGAACTCTGGACAGGGTCCCTGGGTTTGGGTGGTCTTAGCGACAAGGCCATGAAAAGGGCCTTAACGCAAGGCACTCCGTGTCTGTCAGTGCACTCAGACTGCAATTAGCAATTAGGCCTGGCCTTCGTCGACACCTGTCTTCTATTCTACGATTCTCACCCGATCGCAGGGCGTTGCCTGAGTCTCCCCAGACCGCCTTTGCGGCTGCGCAAGCGAAGGACGGATCCATCTCTTCGGACCCGGTAGACGGGGGGCACGGTTTCGCCTCATGCAACCCGATAGCGCTACTCCACCAAGCTTGCAAAGGCTGCACGATTGCGCTGCAGGCCTGAACTCCTGTGGGCCACATCTACAGGTCTTCGCAAAGCTCGCAACGACTACACTGGACACCAGCTCGACTGTGAACCTTTGGACCCTGAGGATCACAAGCGCTACCGGCGCGCTGTGGGCCAACTTTTGTGGCTTTCCAGCGTGCGCCGTGACATCATGTATGCTGTCAAGGAGTTGAGCCGAGGACTTTCTGCACCAACGACCGAACATGAAGCAAAGGTGAAGCATCTTTTGAAGTACCTGGCAGGAATGAAGCACTTTGAGCAGAAACTGCAACCAACGCTTTCACTTTCACCGCAGCACAAAGCAATAGATATCAACATTTTCGTTGACAGCGATTGGGCAGGATGTCATGATACCCGACGCTCCACTTCAGGAGTTTCCCTCTTTGTGCTCGGGGCGAATATACTTTCGCACAGCAGGACCCAGGCCACAGTAGCCCTCTCGAGCGGAGAGGCAGAACTTTACGCTATAGGCTCTGGTACTGCAGATGCTCTTTTCGTGAGGTCTTTGGTAGAAGAGACCAGGATCTTTCAGAAGGCTAACCTTTGTGTTTTCAGAGACAGTAACGTTGGCAAAAGTATACGTTGAGTTACGATATCTTTACGTGCAAGAGCTCGTTACTTCTGGTATGGTTAGGATCAAGAAAGTTCTTGGTACTTTGAACCCAGCAGATATCCTTACGAAGTACATCGCGAAGGATACTTTGCACCGCCACCTTCCTACTTTCGGGTTTGAGGTTTAGCCACCCCATCTCGGGTTGGACTTTGCCACTCATCATCTTTCCCAGAAGAACCCAGATGAGAGAGAAGAGAGAAGAAGACTTTGAGAGCTGAGAGAATCACGGTTCTTGCGGACATGTACTTTTCATGCTTGTGCGGACATGTACTTTTGCGGACATGTACTTTTGCTTGCTTGTGCAGTCTTGACATGTCTTCGACTTTCGCTCGTCGCTGGAATTTTTCTATTTTCCGGAACCAACTTTGATGAGGATTTTTCAGTTTTCCGTTTTCTCCGTTCCGAAAAGGAAGAAACTTTTGCCGCGAAACCTTGATGGTGGATGACTTTTCCGATGATGGTTTTCCGGTGCAACGGCGCCATTTTTAATGTACATATGTAAGCTCACTTGACTTTCCCGTTCAGGGTGTTCGGGTTTTGTCGTGGGTTTTGGTTTTTACTTTGCGCCTTTTCGCCGCAACCGTTTTCACTTTTACTTCGGTCTTTCGCTCGCTCTTCGCATGCCATGGCTCTCTGACTTTCTGTTGCGACTGCAACTTTCTGCAAGACTTTGAGAATGGAGGGGCCAGAGCAGCCTCTTTTCTCCAGGAGAGCTTCGGTTGATCCGACTTTTGCTCCAAAGGGCGTTGGAGCGACAACAAGGGTTCGGGCACACTTTGAGCCGCGGACCTGGTCACTTTGGTGACCGCGAGACGGTCGACGTGGACCCACTTTTGAGTCTGCGGGACTTTCAACAGTGCGGCCAACCTTTGCCGCAACCGGACGAGAGACTTTCGACTCCCCGGTTCGACTACTTTGTGAACACGCTTTTTCTGTTCGCTTTGATCGTACTTTCAATCTTTGCAGGTGCGATCGGCCTGATCGAATACGGCCCTCCGGTTGTGAACTTTGCAAGGAGGACTTTGAGGGCCATCATCCACCGTTTGCGGGCTTTCTTTGGCCTTTGAGATGGCGCCAAAGAAGCAGGGCTACTTTCCGCCCGGCTTTCGTCCTGGTGGGGACAATACCACTTTGCTGGAAGGCGTTGCGGGCAACCTTCGGCCCCAGGCCAACTTTAGCACATATGTGGCGACTTTTTATCCCACCGACTTTGTGCAAATGTTGGCTGACGGCAGACAGGTCGAGCAACTTTGGCGGCCCGGCACTCTGCACCCGATGCACTTTCCTCCTGGTGAGCAGCTCACTTTGGAAGGCATCTTGCAGACTTTGTTCCCTGGGAGAGAACACCCGGGACTTTATACGCCGCCAGAGCAGATCTACCTGGCCGCGACCACTTTTCAGTGGCTTTTTACGGCAATGCTGATGTCGGTGCCGGCGACTTTGCCACCGAACATTTTTGCAAACTTTATGCTGTATGTGACTTTGCCGTTGGCTATGTTCCAGCAGAAGATGCAGACTTTGATGGGCGGAGGAGCTTTGCACTTTTCTGGTGCAGATGCGTTTTGGGGTGACGATTTGCACCTCAACTTTTCGTTTAGCCCTCGGTCAGCGGTACTTCTGTTTGCCTTTGGACTTTCCATCAAGAAGATGGCATGCACAACTTTTCAGGTTGGCCAACTGGTCACTTTGGGTTCCGGCCGACCCAACAACTTTGGATGCAGCTGGTGTCCACTTACGCCGTCTGGAACAGGCGTTATTTGGATTACTTTTTCGCTCTGCCGCGAGAAGGATCCATTACTTTGGACCACTTTTCTCAAGAAGGCCGCTGCATGCTTCAGAGTGGGTTTCTACTTTTTCACCCACCAAATGCTCATGGCTACTTTGTGTGTGACGGTTTGAACACACTTATGGGCCGACAGGAGTCGCCATGGTGGAGACTTTTCCACCTGCCAGTCAACCGGCAACTTTGGGATGCCACGACGCAGTCTCAGACTTGGGACTTTATCCCTCGGGAGCTTTGGCAGGCCATGGCGAGGCCTCGGCTTTAAGCCACTTTCTGGTGTATCTTTGCAGCACACTTTTCGGCGTCTTTTGACGTTTGGTGCTACTTTTGCCGATCGCTGCACTTTGCTGTGCCGATCCCATGCTGTACTTTGATGTACCATGGAGCAGCCACGCCACAGCACCACGACTTTGTCGCTGCACTTTGATGGGTCGACACACGTGCACAACGAGCACCACGAACTTTTCACGAAGCAACTTTTGAGATGCTGTAGATATGAGGCGTCTGTTGCGCAGCAACTTTTCTCCACGCCCGTGCAAAACTTTGTGCGTGAGCTCATATCTGTACATGTATAGGTGTTATATACTTTACGAGAATAAAGTACTTTGCTTTAGTCTCGAGGAGGCGTGTGAAAATAACACCTCCCTTTCTCCCCCAGACTTTGCCAACCTCGTTGGCTCAAGACCACTTTGCCCTCACAGAGAAAAGGCGCTGTCGAACTTCAGGGCTACTTTGGTCTCAGTCGTGTGAGCTTGTGCACGAATTACTTTAGGGTAGTTTGGTGCGCATTCTGTACTAGTATACTTTCGCATGCGCACAAACTGCATGCATGTGTAGCGTAAGCAGATATGTGAGCAAATATGTGCATGTGTAAATCTTGTTTATATGTGCGTGTTTAATGCATGTATATTTATATGTGAATGTAGATGTAGATGTATCTGTGTGTGTATGTGTATGGAACGAGTGGACATGCTGGGTGAAAGCGTGAATGAATAGTCTGAGCGTTAATGCGTTTCTCATGCTCGGTGAAAGTACTGACTAGCTAAACTTGGTAAACTCGTGGTGTGAAACTTGGTGAATATGCCGAGTTGTGCAGTTTGGAGCCCGTAAAGCTCTGAAACCACCGAAACCGCCTGCCTGCCGAGTTCGAGTGACAAAAAATGTGTATGTGCATGTGCATGTGCATGTGCATGTGTATGTGTATGTGTATGTGTATGTGCATGCGCATGTGTGGATTCCCGACAACCCACCAGCCACTACTTTGCGGCTACATCTACTAATCCAACCGGATGAAGAGGCAGTGGCTTGAGGGGAGGTTTGCATAGGCGACACTTATGAGCTGCTAGTAGGTGCAGTCATATTTATGGTATATTTGGGGGCTAGAACTGGTCTACTCCTATGGGTAGATTAAAAGTGTTTTAGCTCAGGATCTCTACAGAGTGACGTCGCCGTGATGATACTTATGGTAGTCCATACATCTTGGTAATTACTTATCGTATTGGGTTTTTGAAGTATATGATGCCAAAGCCATTTCACAAATATGGGACTACATATAATAAGGGTATTTCTTCAGGGCCTTGCCGTGCATACTTGGAGCTGCAAGGATACGACAGTTGTAATTGGAGTCGCGTGTAAAACCTAGGCCTAGATAGTTAGCTGATAGTGGTGCCGTGGTACCGTGTCTACTGTACACTGGACCGTCGTGATACTCACGGATGGTGTGCTTTGGCAGCCGGGACAGCGCCAGCGCAACTGCATGTCTGTGGTTGCTGGCATGCGCGCAGGGTTACCCACTGAGAGCTGATTGTTGACGGACTTGCTGACGCAGCATTCCGGGTTCAAGTTTTGCTTTGGGCAGATTCCCGGCACTTTCTCAGGCTCGCAGTGTCGGAAGGGCATGCAAGACTCTGTTGCAACTGGGGCCGATTAGAACGTGTGCTCGCTTAGCGTGCTTCGCGTGTAAGCACACGAGTTGCTGAAACAATGCCAAGTTAGCTTTTGGAGGTGGAACCTGCAATCATTCGCTCAGTGCAGAAGCCCTATAGTCTTGCAGTGATCGTAACCTGCCAGATGTTGTGAAGGCGAGTGCGGCAGCATGGGTGTCTGACAACAGGCCAGCCGGCACGCAGATCTTGGCAGACTTCCGTATTGTCTTCAATCTTTGTTCAGCAGGTGGGAACCATCTACTTCTTGTCGCAGAACTTTGACGAGGGTCTGCAGATGAGAAGTTTGGCACCGGGGGCAGACACTTTTGCAGACCCACTGCTGCCAAGCTGGAATACTCGTAGCACCAACTCTTACATCCGTGTGTCCCTGTGTGCGTGGTAGTGTTTGTTTCGTGAAGCTGACATGCAGTTGAGGTAGATTCGAAGTTTCCGCGAGCATGTACGTCCGGAAGAGCTGCCCATGGTTGTACCAGTGCTGGCATGGGTCCACGATGACCACCTTAGTCACTTCAGACTATGCACGTTTGCACTGTTTCGTCCCAGGCGGGAGATATCGCAAGTCGCCGTTCTGCTGGGCACAGTCTGACATTGAATGTCCATCACATGCCAGGGTGGACGTATCACTCAAGCGTAACGATCCCAGCATGTAAGTGGCGGGGCCGTTGACGGTTTTTTTTGCTTGCTCAAGCGACAGATCGTGAAAGATCTCTTCGTGGGCTTGGGCTTGTGGCCCTTCCAAACATATCATTTTGGCACCGTGTCCACACGCTTGCCCAAAGTACTAGCCTCGCGGTTGGATGTCTGCTGCAGCGAAGAGAGTTGCCCGAAACGCTGCGTAAATAAACCGCAGCAGTTGCAGCGGTCGAAGCAGGGTCGAAGAATGACACATGCAGTCGCCCGCCTCCACTCATGTGCCACTGCGCTCCGTTTGCTCAGTCAGCTGGACACCATTGCGTGGTAAGTGCGCAGTGCTGATCCACGCCCACATGTCCCGGAAGAACACTGCCATGTAAGTGTGCAGTGCTGATCCAGGTCCACAAGCATTGGCAAAGGCTGGAGTCAGCGAGAGAAAAGGTCTTTCTAGAGGAAGCACCTGCTGCTTTCATCGGGGCTACCACCTCGCAGCACTGCTTCAGCTCTCGTGCTCAGCGTGCGTGATGCAAGGCTCGCGTTTCCGTGTGGCCTTGCCTTGCAAAACCGTTGTCCTCAGAAAGCGGCGTGGATCCTGAATCTGCAACGTGCACTTGCAAGCCGGAGTTGCGTATGTCGGCCCATTAAAGTGCGGCGACAAAACTGCATCATCCTGCATCATCCGGTGCTCAAGGGGGATTCTGGGTGGGCTCGGCAGGGACGACTTCGCCAACTTGCTCGTGACCGAGCAGTGCCGATGGTCTGCGACACCTGGCTCGCCGGACAGCCAACAGTCTGCGAGGAGCGAAGCTAGCTCTGTGCGCTCGAGACTCTGCTCGCCGAGGGAGGCGCGAAGTGTCTTTGCGGACAGCCCCTCTCCATGTGCACGTTCAGCGAATCTTTCTCGGACACTTGTTGTAGGCCCCTTTCGCAAGTCCGCCACTAGTTGCGCGCCCGAGTGTGGACTTTGTGTTTCGAGGCCTTTGGTGACGTTGGCGTAGAAGTTTTCACCTTCTCGTCCTTGCTGCCGCTTCCAAGAACCAGCAGTTGACCGAAGACCCCGTGGCGGTGGAAGCCAAGGGCTCGCAGCTTCCCAACAGCTGTTCCTGGGCTGTTTGTGGGATGGGCTTCATCTTGGTAAGACCCCAGCCAGAATGGATAAGGAACGGAATCAGACAGTTCAAGCTGTAAAGCATAGAGCATAACTGCATTTTGTGCCATGCACGCGTGCATCTTTCCGTCCATGCAGGCAGGTCGGCAGTCAGGCAGCAGGCAGGCAGAAAGGCACATAGACTCAGACATAGACCCAGACATAGACATGGACAGAGATGTGGCTATATATATATATACACACACACACGTGCCGCTTGTTGATATCCAGAAAAACCAAGGTTGTCGATCTGTGCCCCGGCTTGTCGCTGTCAAGCGGCAAAGAGTATGGTCGAAGGTTGTAGATGGGTGGTTCAGCTGCGGATTTTTCACAACTGCAGCAGGACCGAGCGGTCTGCATCGATGCATATTCAGGGCATGCTTGTCTGAGAAATCGCTCGATTGTGTTTGGTATCCGACATAAGGTCTCAGCTCACATGCTTCCGCAGCTGCGCCTGCGGACTTTGGAAGCAAGCGCCGTGCTGGGTCGCCATGTTTGCCAAGATGGCCAGCTCCGGCCAGGGACGCAGATCCAGACATCTTTCGTCATGGAAGACAACCAGCTTCTTGAGAGATGGGCAGCTTGGCAAGGAATCCGAATATTAGAGATGATGCGGGTGGACAGTGGTTCAGTGGCAGCTGTCGGTTCGATCTCGACGAGCAGAGCTGAAGTCTTGACGGCACCCTCCAATCCTCGAGACGGGAATTTAGCCCCAGCCTTGCTCCCCAATAAACAAGCTAACATCATCCCTTCGGGCCTCATTTCGCACATGGCGGATCAGGTTACAGTGGAAGCCTTCCCTTCCGGTGCTCACATCGATCAGAGGTAGAGGCCGGCTAGCACAAGAAGGCAGGTCGGGGCCTTCCGGGTTTCGGCTTACGATTTTACCGTTCGTCTCCAAGATGGAACAAATCCCTGCTCTTGAGGCAACAAGTCTCTTGCCCCGTGGATCTCGTTTTTGCACTTGGATACCATGCCGTGGAACCCAACAGACCTCGCAGTTTTAGTGACGTGATTCCGTGTTTCATCTCGGTTGAGAATCGCGTCGGCCTCGTCCTTGCACCTTTGGCTGACACTCCGTCACAGCAACAGTTCGTAGAAATGTGCCAGGCAGCCGTAACCCGGCTTTGGATACGGAGGGACGAGATCGATCATGCCCAAGGTAAGCGATGGCAAACAGGTACTGACCATCCGTCCCGTCTGTCAGCCTGTCACCCCGTGTCACGCCGGGTTCCCAAGATCCCATGATCCTGACCTCGACGCTAGCGACCGCTAGCGCTAGTGACTAGTTCACATGTTTCAATATTGGGGGGACTGCAGGTTACTATGTTGCTAGGAGGTCGTGAAGCACCAAACGTCAAGTTGTACCAAGTTGTAAAGCATGCTGCAAGCGCTGCTGGTCATGATTTGTCTTTGATGACACTGGGATGATCTGTTGCGCTTTAGGCTTCAATCGTTGTCTTGATCTGTTGCGCTTTAGGCTTCAATCGTTGTCTTGCTGCAAGTACAGGCAACCCCAGCTGCAGATTGGAGATGTGGAGCATCTCCCACCACGCAGTCGCACAGAGCCGGGGGAATGTTCTTAGTTCCATTGTGGTCACCTTACCCTGAGCTTCTTGTTGACCAAGCCGGCACTGTGATGACTGCGGAGTGTATGAAAACCTTGCCGTTAAAGCTCGCTGTACCTGCTAGACTCCTACGATGGTTATGCGCATTCATGTTTGATATTGGGTTGCGCTTTTTGGCAACTGGAGAGACAGGGCTTGCAAAACCATGTGTGTAGTAGTCGATTCCACTTGTCGTGAACCTGCCCATCGTGCAAGCCCTGCAAAGAAGAGAGCTTGATCCTACGTCGGGGGAACAATCAACTTGTATTCAAACCTCATGGTCGTTACATCATCCACAGACTCAGTAACCCGTCCTGATGCTGCGATGTTTGATGGATTGTTGATCCCTGTCTTCGCTACACATAATTACCACTAGTCACGAAAGCTAGCTTCCGTGGCTAGCTGAGTTCCTTACCAACCGAAAGGTTGCATCTAGGGGTGTGGGGAAGGGCCCCCGCCAGGTGGGCATTTTTTGCGTGTATTTGGGGCTATCCCCCACCTGGTTGCTGGTTTTCGGCCTGCCCCCGCCGGGTCCGTTTTGGGGTGTTTGAATGTGGTGCTTCGGACTGCTTCCGAGTGGAAAAACGGCTCCCCGATGATGCTCATGATGCGCGTTTGTTGGCCCCAAGAAGCTCCCAATGATGCTCGCGATGCGGGCTTGTTGGCTCGGACTGGGCTCCAAGAGGCCTCCAATGATGTTCGCGATGTGCGCTTGCTAGCTCCGATAGGGACCCACGACATTCCCAACGATGCTTGCGATGTCGTGTACTTGTTCTATCTGGGGCGCCCGACCCGAGGCCATTGGCTTCTAGGCATGATATACACATGTATTTATGGTATGTTTGTGTATATGCAGCTCTGCTCCAACCTCTTTAAACAGAAGCTGAAGCGACCCGTATCTCGTGGGCATCCTAATGTTCGCCGTTTCCTGAAGAGCTCTCAACAGCACTTTGCTGCTGGCTTGCTGGCTCCGATTCTTATGATGCTTGCAGCTCATGATGCTCACGCGTCGCCTACTTGTTCTACGTTGGGCGCCCGACCTGAAGACATTGGCTTCTAGGCATGATATACACATGTATTCATGGTATGTTTGTGTATATGTACATATGTATATAAATATACGTGTGCATGAAGCTCTGATCCAAGCTCTTCCATATACTGTTTTTCTACTGTTTCCGCGCTTGTTGGCTCGGATTGGGATCCAAGAGGCCCCCAATGATGTTCACGATGTGGCTTGCTGGCTCCGCTCACGCGTCGCGTACTTGTTCTATGTTGGGCGCCCGACCTGAAGCCATTGGCTTCTAGGCATGATATACACATGTATTATTTATCTTAGTTCTCCAATGCAAAACTTTTAAACTTTTGGGGTTCTTATAGTTTAGAAGTAATCTGACAGTTTAACCTTTTATTTCTGTGGCTATTGGGGGAGTAAGTTATGGTATGTTTGTGTATGTATATATATATATATATATGTGCATGAAGCTTTGATCCAACCTCTTCCATATACTGTTTTCTACCATTTCATACTATACTAGTACTCGACTATACAGTCATATGTAATAGCAGCTGCATCTGGACGAACAAGAAGCGCAAGCAGAGCATGGCTTGGCCCGGTGGGTGTCACCCACATTGAGGGGGATGGTATTGGTGCTCATTCGAGGGGTTCAAGAGTTAGGGTTTCTGTAATTGGAAGTTCAGCAGGCGTGTATGCATGCTTGCCTTCACTGGAAAAGCCTCGGTTGTTGACGCTTCTAGCTTTCGTCCCAGTCCCTCCGCCGCAAGTTCCGTTTAAAAGGGGGAAACATCCAGCTTTCACACTCCTCTAAAGCCCCCATAAACAACGGGGGGGCCCTTGTGGCCGAGGGGCGTCAGACACTCCTCGTGCCCCGGGGAAGAAGAGAGCAAGCAAGCAAGACGCACACACACACACACGGGGATGGCAGCGGCGGCATTAGCTGGTGGCGACAAGCCTCGTGCTAGCTTCTACAGAGACGTTGCAGTCCCATGGAAAGTTCGAGTACGTGTCACGAAGTTGGGGGGACCAGGCGATGTCGCGTGTGTAACTGCTTCACCCTTGAAAGCGTTGCTTGTTATGCAAAGACCCAACTCATAGCCCGGCCCTGGAGGCCGGGAAGCTGCTCGAGACCCTTCTCGCCGTTGGAACTGTTGATGGCGTGTCTTATGTAAACGTTCAAGCATAGACTTTTTCGGACGGTTGTTGTAGGCCGCTGCTTTGTGTAAGTCTGCCAAGATTCGATGAAAGATAATCATCCACCAAGGCTGAAGAGGTGAAGGCTCCAAGCAAATATGGCGATGCAAAAGGGGATTCTTGGTCTGCACATGCAATTCTGCTCGTGCCCCTGCGCTGCCGCATTGCTTGGCGGGGAATGTCAGACTAAGGCATTCTGGCATTCTGCATAACCAACTGGCAGACGGAAAGACTGGAAAGCTTGCACATAGCGGCATCGGCGACAGACCGAGCCCGTAGTCCCGTTCGAATTCGCTGAACTCCTCCAGGCTGCGCCTTGTCACTGCAGTGTTGCGGGGACTTCTCCGTTTTGTGCGAGTGCTGAACGTTTGGTCCGAAGCTGGTAGGCTTCATCGAGAAGCTGTTTAGGGGCCACTTCTTGTGGAAGAAGCAGGTCTTGCAAGCTTTTCTGGCAAGTCTGTGTTTCGCGGAGTCTTGAGGCTGGCTCGGAAACATTCAGGAAGTTGAGATGTTTTTGTTGCTCGTCCGCACTCTGGAAGCGTTGAATCCCGTGCAGCTTCGAAACCTGATCTTGCTGGATGTGGAGGGTTGACGTGTTGCACAAGGGCCGAGGGAGATACCGCGCCCGTAAATCGATTTGAGGAGTGTGAGTGTCAAAAAAATCGGTTGAGGATTTGTAAAGCCCGGGACAGTAGCTCCCGCAAACTCCAAACCTCCGATCCATGATGTCTGCAAAACGAGTTTGCTCAGGTCCTGGCCCGCTTCGAGGAGATGGTGGGGGAGCTGCGCCGATGCCGGCCCACAAGCACGCTTTGGAACGAAGCCCGCGGTAACAAAAGCTGCCTGGGCTGTTTGTGGGATCGGCTTGCCGCGTATTCCTGTCCATCCGTAGCATGCTGGCGGTGACATACCATCAGGAAGGGAAGTACCGTGGCCTGCAGCATACACTCACGCTCGACGCATGTTTCCAGCAGGAACATGGTGAGCATCAATCTGTTGAGGATTCGGGGGAGCGTGTGCGCTTGTGGGGGAAGCTGAGTTTGGGATGGTCCAGATTGCGTTGGCATTGCAGTAGGACATATGGTGCGTTGGACGTTGAAAATGCACTTACAGCTTCAGGATGTGCCCTCGAGAAGCAGCAGTGGCGTCACATGGCATCACATGGGCTATGTACGTAGATCGCTGCGGAGTGCGTCAGCGGGCTAAAGACTCTTCTTCTGCAGGGTTGGTAGGTTGCAGGCCCTCCCGGAGTCTCTCTTAGACCACCCAGCGGCCTTGAGGTTCCAGGCCTCGGACGATGTGCCGTGCGCAAACCCGCAGCCTTGCGGAGACCCCTTGCCGAGGCAAGCTTCTTCAGCAGGAGCCCTGAGATCTCGCACGTGGGTTGGCGTGTTTCACGTGCGGTCCCAGTCGCCGTTGACATGTGATAGACCCACGCCCACGCAAAAGTGGCGATCAGCTATGCCCCGCTGAACGGTAAGCAGACTTGCAAATGCTCATGACCTGGGTGGTCCTTGCGGCATTGAGATGACTCGCTCAGGGAAATTCAAAGAAGAGCTCCTGCCCCCGTGAAGGAGCGACTTGATCGGTCCAGCATCGAAGCAGACGAACCCGTGCTGTTTGCCAAATAGACAAGTAGATGCCATGCTTGCGTGTGCTGCAGGTGTAGCCAGGCTTGCCCGTGTCGACATGCGCCAACCCGGAGCAAGTGCTAAGTTCCAAGATGGCCGTGCCCGCAATCTGCGGAGCTACGTGGTCGCGCGGACGTCTTGATGTGGCTGCTTCCTCTCTTTACATGGACTCCTCGTCCTGAGCCGCAGAGAACCCAGACAGTGCAGAAAGCATCAGCTTCTGCAGTGTCCTATGAACGCCCTCGACCTGCCTCTACCTGACGCCCTCCAAGCACAAGCTGGCGAACTATGAGCCCTGCTTTGGCAGCTCTGATCTTTCCATGTGTTCAAAAGAGATAAGTGGACCAGCTTGTGCCTTACCTTCTTGGCTTCCTGCCGTCTT